CTTGTTATTTTTTTTAAAATAAAAATGAAAATTATTTTATTTCTTGTTTTAACGTATTTTAGTTTTGTTTTCTCATATATATGCAAATGTAAATATAATAATTACCTTTTTAAGTATTGTTGTTATGATGAGATAATAGAAACTAAAATAGTTTCATCAGATAATGATAAAAATCTAGCTTTTCTCTATGATTTAATGATAAAAACAGAAATATTTTTTAAAAATACAAAGATAATACGATCATCTGAATATTCAGAGATAGAAAAATTAATAAATAATGCAATATATTCTAATAGAAAGATAGTAGATATTGAAAGAGAAATTTATAATAGAATTATAGATTCAAATTCATTAAATAATGATGAAAAAATTAAGCTTCAATCATTAAGAGTTAGTAAGAAGATATATGGGGGGGTGTCAGTAGAAACCAAGCAAATTGGTAAATTCAAGTTTTTGAGATAACGTGATTTTTGTGTTGTGTTACACAAACTTATGTAAACAGTGATCGACAATTCGAACTCACTCGGCCTTGATCGGAAAGTATCGTATAATTATAAATGAGTTCAGTAAGCAAATTTATCTAACAAATTTGCTTGATTTTTACTGACCCCTATCATATAACATGAACGGTCAGTAGAAACTAGGCAAATTTATTAAATTTGCTTGGTTCAGTAGAAACTATCTAACATATTTGCTTGGTTTCTACTGACCTCTTATTAAAAAAAATTTATTTGAAACTTTAATTACATTTGTAACTACAAGATAGAAACTAACAGATTGTTTCAGATTATAACTAAAGTTGTCTCGCTGGTTAATGTTTTGTTACAGATTTAAGAGTATTTGCTAGAAAACTAGCCTCAAACTTTCGATAACAAAAAGGACGATTTAAACTAAGAAGTATTCGTCTAAATAAATAAAAAAAAGGTACAGATGTAAAAAAATGAGGTTTGTTTTATTCATTCTATGCCTATTTGATTTGGTTCTTCATAGTTTTTTTTAGATCAGATATCTTTAATAATATAGAGGAACCTATAATATCTTTT